GCCTCCCATGTACCTTCCACTAACATGCCATCTTCCTTATTTTAGCACTCATTCAATAGTTATTCTCTTATTAGTTACCTACTGAGAAGAGTGAAGGTCATTTCTATTAGTTTGCCATAATAAAGGACCCCAGACATGGCGGCTTCAACAACAGAAATTTACTTGCTCTTAGTTTGGGCTGCTAGAAGTCCCAGATCAAAGTGTCAGTGGTTTGGCTTCCCCGGTGACCTCCCTGCTTGGCTTGTAGATGACCTCCTTCTGGCTGCGTCTTTCTTTTGTTTTTGTGTATCACTGGTGTCTCTTTGTGTGTCTGAATTTCCTCTTTATATAAGGACAAGAGGCAAACTGGGTTAGGGCCCACCCTGATGGCATCCTTTTAACTTAATCACATCTTTAAAGGTCCTGCCTCCAAAGACAGTCGCATTTTGAGGCACCGGGGGTTAAGGCTTCAACATTTGATTCCAAGGGCGACACTGCTCAGCCCCAAACACCAGTGGAAATAGGACTGAACAAGACACATGTGATCTTTGTCCTCTAGTGTCAGCTTGGTAGGGAAGAGATAATAAGCCACCATTTACACAAATACATAACCCCCACTATAGGATCATCCAAGAAGTAGAATATAGGTTACTTGAAAAGTCCGTGTGGTGTTGGGGGCCTGGTCTGGCAAGGTCTCCCTGAGGAAGTGAGATATGAAGGGAGTCAACCAGGTGAAGCGAGAGAGTTGAGTATCCCAAATAGAGACTAGCATTAGTGAATTCCATGAAGGGGGAAAGAATATAACACATGAAACGGATGGACAGAGGTCACTGTGGCAAGGAGTGAGTGGTGGGAGAAGATGCCAGAAGATCAAAGGAGCAGATTCCACAGAATATTATATCTTGACTTTCTACTTTAAGGCTCACAACATCCTGCTTTGGGCTGTTCTAAAATTCTTGTTGGGGAGGGATGGCAGGCAAGTTGTGCTGCTTCTTCTCTTCCTTAGAGAAAAGATCTTTTTTGTATTCTCCACAGGGCGCAGCATAAGGCAGGGCATGTAGTAGGTACCCAATAAATAAAGTGGTATAAGGAGAAATTAGAAGCACTTTTGTCTGTTTAAATTAGACAAATTGAGACACTGGTGGGCGTTTCTTCTAGGTGAGGACGTCCGGTAGTCTGATGCCACCTAGTGCTCCTTTTTATTACAACACCAAAGGGGGAGAGTTAACTGTCTTCTATAAAATCTGGAAGATCGGAAATGATACATTTCTTTCAGCAAGCTCATCAGTATAAATGAACTTGTCTAATCACCCATCCTCCCATCCACCTGTCCATCCATCCATCCATCCATCATCCACCCACCCATGTATGTCGATCTCTACCTGTATCTCTTTCCTATGAGTTGAACATGTCATGTTCCTTTCCACGTTTTACATGTTTGGGTCTTTCTGTCCCCACATCATAAGTAATGTTCTCAGGTGTCAGCATTGAGACTCCTGAAATTGCATAGAGCCCTCTGTCAACATGTCATGTTCTAAATGATATCATCATATTGTGTCAGAATTAGTTGTTAATGTCCCTTTCTCTCTTTATCTCAATGTCAGATTGTGAATGCAGTGAACAGTGACTGCCTTTGTGGCTGCTGTGGTCAAGTTGGTGCCTTCCATGCAGGAGGTACTTAAAATAAGTGTTTCCTATCACCTTGGTAGGCCACTAGCTTGGGGAATGGTTTTTTTAAGAGATCCTAGGAAATGGAGAGACACTGAGTCCATAAAGAGAAATAGAGGTGACCAGGATGCTTTAGGTCTTTCTATGATGTGAGTAGCTGCAAGAATGTTAAGGAGGGCCTCCCCGGTGGCGCAGCGGTTGAGCGCTGGGTTGCGAAGCTGCCCTCAGCCTCTGCGGCGCCGGTTCGATCCCCGGCTGCTCCCCGGCCACCGGAGGAGGGTCCCACATGACGCGCAGACCTCTCCTGCCGCCCGCTGCTCCCCTCAGCAGTGTACTTCGGTCCTTCTGCCTGCTCTGCTCCCCGCTCTGGCTCTGGTGAATCCTCTCACCCTCCCGTGCTTCTGACTGTACCCAGTGCTTGTATAAATAAATAAATAAATAAATATTTTTTTTTTTTTTAAAAAAGAATGTTATGGAGCCTCTCTGGGCTCCACAGTCAATAGTCCTAATATGTAATCATATTTCCTGAAAACACACCAAGCAGCCAGAGTCATATTACTGTCATATCTGTTAGCATGGCCTAATAGGCCCCTTTCTATTAGCATGGCCTCCAGTTTTGGTTCAAGCTGCTTCTCCAGCTTTGTCTGCCACCTTTCCCCCACCTCCATGCACATTATGCCTCAGTCCGCTTGTCCACTAGGTATACAATCTTAGTTCATGACTGGGGTATCATTGAACAAATGTTAATTTTCCCCAAATTAATTCATAAATTTAATGAAGTTTTAATTAAATTTTTTCATGAACAATTTGAAAAGCATCCTGAAAATTATATGGGATGATGGAAATCCATGAATAGCCAGTGCAATTTTAACAGAAGTAGGGACGGGGGACTTGCCCTTCAATCAAGTTGAATGATTTCACAATCATAATAAAACCTTGTCGTTCTGGCACCAGGTCCAGAGAACTCAGGATAAGCCCATAAAGATTTGAGAGCATTCCAAAACTAATTGGGAAAGAATGGTTTAATATAAGATTTGCAAAACAGGCTCACTTCATCAAGAAAAATAAAATCAGATCCTTATCTCACACCATATATAAAGGTGAACTCTGAAACTAATTGGAGAAAATGAAAGAGAATGCCTTTATGACTTTGGGGTGGAGAAGGACTTTTTAAATTACACTGAAAAAAAAAAAACAGAAAAAGTAAAGCAAAAAAAAAAAAAAAAGACTAAAAGCTACAAAATTATTAGATTGTTGTCCTATAAAGGACACCCCAGGCAAAGCTTCCGGTCTTGAAAGCAGATTAATGTCTAGACTGTACAAAGAACTCCTGCAAATCAAAAAGGAAAATGCCAGCAGAAAAATTGGTAAGACTATAAATAGATAATTCATGAAAGGAGACCCCAAGTGGCTTATAAATTATGAAGAAATGCTCAATTTCACTGGTAGTTAGAGAAATGTAAATTAAACCAAAAACATGTTGACGTTGCTTCCATGATATTGACAGAAATTAGAAAATTGGCTAATTAGATGAGTCAGTATTTGTAAGCACTTAGAATAGTATCTGGCACCAAGTAAACAAGATATGAGTATTTATGAATATATGAAATACCACATGCTGGCAAGGATGAGAGTGAGGGACAGAATAATACCCTAGAACTACAGGCTGGAGTATAATTTAGGACAGCAAATCTGGTGTGCACCCAGCAGCACTCAGTGAAATTAAGTACCCAGGGTTTCCACCACTGTACTAGGCACCAGTAGCCTATTAGAAAAGTGTCCACTGCTGGGTAGATGCATTTGAAAAATTCAAATTCTGGATAGTTCCAGCCTTCTCGATTTATGACTTGACTAGGGAATATAACTTTGTGGGAAGTAAAGGACACATTTTTCTCCAGTGGGGCGCATGCCACTAGAAAGAGGAGAGAGTCTGATTTTTGGTTTTCTTTGGCTCTTGGCTGGTTGTTGTTGTGCAGGACAAGTTGTGTAACCAAATGTGATGGTCCCTTGCATCATCCATGACCTTAACAATCTTACTCCTAGGCATAATATTTCAGAGGAATTTGTACAAATCCCCATGAAGGGATCATGGACAAGGTTGATGGTCACTTTGTTGTTTGTGGTATTGGAAAGGGGGAGGTGGCCTTCGTGTTCACTTGGGGGATGGAAGTAAAATGGGGTGGATGCCCAATATGGAATGCTGGGCAGCAATCAGAGCAATTAACTGAGGTTACAGTACCATCTGTAACTGGAATAGATCCTTAAGAAGAAGGTTGAGTGAAAAAAGTAGAGAATGAGATGGTCTCTTAAGTCTAATACCATTTTGAAAAATGCAAAATTTACAGTAATAAAACTATCCATTTTTCATAAAAAATATAAATCCAAACAAAACTTAATTTCCTTCTAAGCATTAATCCTCCTGTGAGGTTGAGGATGAGGAACGGGATGGGGATAAAGTGGGAAAAACAAGAAAACAAGAGAGGGGTTTTGCACATTTCATCAAACAGGCAGTTAATTACTCCAACTCCCTTTAAAGGAGGTGGAGAGGGGAAGAGAAGATGGGTCTTGAGCAAAGAACCCCAGATGCTACGTAGATTTTCAGGAGGTGGTTTCTGTGCCCCTTGGAGATCTGTCCCACTGATGACTAAACCTTTTAAAGGCAGGGCCTGTGCTTTCTCTGCCTTAGCTTCTTGCTGTGTCTTGCATACTGAGCTTCTATGTAAAGGCTGGGATTAACTGGAACTGAGGTGTTCCCGGGACTGAGGGGTCTTCCCTCACCCAGAATGAGGGAAGCATTGGTGCCCAGTTCTCCCTTGCCAGGCCCCTTAGGGTCTCCCCCACCGGCTTCCTTCCCAGGTGCTTTTTCCCATTCACCCTCTCCTTCCCCTCTAGGGTTTCTTTTTAAAGATTTATTTTATTTATATAAGAACCAGGGTACAGGCCAGAGGCGCGGGAGGGTGAGAGGATTCACCAGAGACAGAGTGGGGAACAGAACAGGGGGATCTACTGAAACACACTGCTGAGGGGAGCAGCGGGTGTGACAGGAGAGGTCTGCTGCGCCATGTGGGCATCTCCCTGGCCAGCGGGGATCGAACCCGCGCTGCAGAGGCTGCGGACAGCTTCACAGCGCTGCGCTCAACCGCCTGCGCCACCAGGGAAGCCCCCCTGGTGGGGGGTTTCTGACTTGCGCGCACACCTCCGCGCCTCACCAGAGGCCCCGCCCCCTCACCTTGGCCCCGCCCACCAAGGATATTTGCATATTTTCTGCGGACTCCGAGGCTCCTCCCCTTTCGAGCGTACGCCGGCGCCCCTAGGGGGCGTGGCGGTTACCAGGCGACGGGAGGACGCGTCGAGCGCGGGGTTCGGCCCCCGGCGGGGCATAGAAATAACGTGGTGCCGCGGTTCGGTTTTAGACGCTGGGGGGAGGACGCAGCCCCCTCCCCCGACTCCTGCGCGGTGTCCGCGATCTCCACAGCAGCCCCTGAGGCCGCCCCCAGAGCGTCAAGATGGCCGAGGTCAGGAGTCAGCGCGCCCTCTCTCTCGCCTCTAGCTCCATCCCTCCCCGGTGTCGCTCTCCTGTTGCTGACTTATCCTGGGATTCTGACATGCCCCCACCAACCTCCTGTCCCCCCCCCCCGCAGCCTCACCCCCCGCCCCCATCGACTCTGGCTCCATTAGCTCCAGGCCCCCCCAGTTGTGCGGACACCCCCACTCCCTCTATGGACTCTATACTAAGAGCTGTGGGAAAGTCGTGAGTTCCCGGACTCTCACGTAACTGGCACCCCCCCTAGATTCTGAGTCATAAGGTGATCCCACAAGAGAGGAACATGCAGAAATACTGATATCTCATGGACTGGGGACACCCAGGAGGTGGCTTCATAGATACACACTGTCCCCCCTTTTCACTGTCCTTACACCGCTGTTCCCTGTCATCTGGCCACCATCTGCATCTCTTCTTTACAACCCTGTAAAGAAGGTTATCATTGACCACTGTGTTAGCATTTTGTAGCCTCCATTCAGCTCCCCACGATGTAGTACACCCCATTTTCGGCCTCCCTGGTGAGGGGTCATTTCTGTAACCCACTAATGAACACCTGCCTGTCCATAAGCACCCTCATGTGTAACCTCAACAACCTCAGGTCCCTGATATCACCTGCCATATGCAGTCTGTATCCACCATGGCCCTTCCCAAATCCTTCATTACCCGGTCAGAGGGTATCCTGCATTTCACCCATCCCGTGGGCAGCCCCCGCCAGGACCACTACATACTTCTCAAGGAGTCCTGAAAAACGAAAATGCAGAGTCCCTTGTTAAAAAATTATGAAGAATTTTAAGATGAAGATAGCAGAGTATTGAGCCAAGTGTGGGGCCTGTATCCTGTGTAGATGTCATGTCCATGAAACCAGTGCTGGTCCCAGCAACTCTAACCCCCATAATGCCTCCTCCCTATTCCAGTTTGCTCTTGTCTCCTAAACATTCACTCGCCCTTGTCATCCTGTCTCTTCCATCTCTAGTCACCCCTTTCTGTGTTCAACAGCCCCCCTTCTTGCCTTATCATACATTCCCTTTCATACTCGCTCCGCAGCTCCCTGGGTTTCACTATGCTCTCCTGTCTCTCACATCCTTGACACTATGGCCATCCTGCTTATCCTATACTCATTCTATCTCTTGTCTTCCCATTTCCTCTTCCTGTTCCTTCTAATCTCCTTGCTTCTTTCCATTACTTGATGTTGGGTATGTCCTTCTTTTCTTTCCCAATATTCATCTTGGGTTATTTCATTCTTCATTTGTCATACATAAACCCCAGTTACCAATACTACAAACTAATTATTCCCCAGTCTCTCTTCCCTTCATTATTCCTCTCATTTCTTCCTTTCTTCTAATTTTCATCTCTCTTGATCTCAGCCAAGTTTTCTTCACCTCTCCTTTCACAAGTCTACATTTCCACTCTGGCTTCATTTTTCACTATTTTTTTTTCAATTTTCTTTTCCCTTTACCCCTCTAATTGGTATTCCCAGCACCTAGAACAGTGTCTGGCAAATAGTAAACATTCCATGAGTAGGTGTTGAATGAAGGGGCATCCTAGTTCTCTGATTAGGTCATGTTGAAACTATGCTTCTAGAATAGACACTACTGTATGTGATAACAGGCAGATAACAACTGGTGATGCATCACAACTAAGAGATTGTTTTTGCTTTGTTTGTAATAGTTGTTTATTTTTAAATGACATGAAAAATTTCTTTTGTGCATGAAAGTTTCTTTAAAACTTTTCTTTCTTTGATGTTTTTCCATTCCTGTACTAATGCCAGGTATACAGGGAAAACTTGGCCTACAAACAAATCATTAGGCTCGTGATCAAGTGTTGACATTAATACCATTTACAGGGATGGAACTGAGAACATTGCCACGATAAATTTTTGTGTGTGCTCATGTTTAGCATCAACAAGGGGAAAGCACAGAACAGCAGCAGCACCATATTTCCTAAATATGATTTCCCCTCCTTTGTGAAATTTCTCTATTGTGATCTTTGCAATAATCTGCTTTTAGTCAGGAAGGAACCCTCCATTGAGTTCAGCGTTATGCTAATGTTGCTATGTTGTTGATATACTTTGTGACTCCACAGCTGTATTAAGATGTGTTCTCTGTTTGCTTTCATGTCATCTTTAGAAATTTAATCAGTAGCACAAATGTTTTGGAAAACCAAGAATATATAGCTTTTTCAATATCGGGCAGTAGGGTTGTCACAGCAAAAGGAAAACTAGACTGCTTTTTGGGATTGGAGAGTGTCTCAGTTAATTTTTTTCATTAACTATAGAGTTTTTAGTGCCAAAGTCCTTTTTCATGTAGAAAAGCAAAGCACAATGTTGCAAACATAAAGAAGACCTTTCAAACCTGATTAGTTCTTAAAAGACTTGAAAGGTTCAGTGGCCTATAGAATAATTCACTTCATATTCTTTAGAATGGCATTCAAGGCCCCTACAATCTATCCCTAGTTCCCTGTTTTTTATTTTATTTATTAATATTATTTAAAATTTTTTAATTATTGTAAGTATTTTTCCTAATTCCCTGTTTAGTCTTCTCTTTCCTTCTCTCTATCATACTTCTTGTGTGATAGCCAACTTGTACTTCTTAACCAATCTCAAATCCTGGATAACTGCTTTCCTTGAACCTTTGCTTAAACCTTGCCATGGGCCAGGAATGGCCTTTCTCTCCCTATCCATTCTAAAATTCTGCTGTCCCTTCTGGGCCCGCTCAAATGCTACTTTGTGAAATTCGTTTTAATTCTTGCTGCTGGGAGTAATTCCGTCTTCCTACAGGTCCTTATAGAACTTTGAATCCATTTTATGGCAGGTATCAAATTGTATAATTCCATTATATGCACACATACCCCATCAGTGGTAATATATAAATTCCCCCTGGAAAGACTGATTATAAATTGCTAGCTCCTACAGGTTTCACCATCCAACGTACGTACAGCAGATGTTCAACCAATATTTGCTGAATAAATATTAACCATACTCATTCTTTTTTTACTGTTGAGCAGTATCCAACAAGAAGTAGGTGCACCTTTTTGCTGGAGCAGCCATAACACAGTAACACACCTTGGTGACTTAAGACAACTGAAATTTATTGTTTTAGAGGGTAGAAGTCTAAAACCAAGGTGCTGGCGGGGCCACACTCCCTGAGTCTAGTGAAATCCTTCCTTGCCTCTTCCTTGCTTCTGCGGCTAGCCAGCCATCCTCGGGCTCCCTTGACCTGACGCTGCATCTGTCTAATCTCTGCCTCCATCTTCATAGGCTTTCTTCTGTGTGTGTCTGTGTCCAAACTACACCCACCTCTATTTAAAAATTGAGATATAATTGACATTGCATTAGTTTCAGGTATACAACACAATGATTGGAAATCTGTATCTCTTGCCAAATGATTCCCACCCTAAGTTTCATAGACATTTATCAGTACACATAGTGACAAGAATCCCCCCCGCTTTTATGGGGGAATCCAGTCATAGTGGATCAGAGTTCATCTTGCTCTGCTGTGACCTCAACTTTACTAATTACACCTTCATTGATTCTACTTCCAAGTGAGGTCACATTCACAGGTATTGGGGACTAGGTCTGTGATCTACCTTTCTGAAAACACAATTAAACCCCTAACACCAGGGTAATACAAATTGATGTAACTAACTCCTAGGTTCTCATTTAAGTCATAGCTGTATTATATATATGTCTGGTTTTATATTTTTATAATTTATTTATTTATTTTTTTTTTAAGAAGGTAGTTTTTTTTTTTTTTTAAAGATTTACTTATTTATTTATACAAGCACTGGGTACAGTCAGAAGCGCGGGAGGGTGAGAGATTTATTTTTATTTATACAAGCCCTGGGTACAGTCAGAAGCGCAGGAGGGTGAGAGACTTCACCAGAGCCAGAGCGGGGAGCACAACAGGCAGAAGGACCAAAGTACACTGCTGAGGGGAGCAGCGGGCGGCAGGAGAGGTCTGCGTGCCATGCGGGACCCTCCTCTGGTGGCCGGGGAGCAGCCGGGGATTGAACCGGCGCCACCGAGGCTGCGGGCAGCTTCGCAACCCAGCGCTCAACCGCTGCGCCACCGGGGAGGTCCTGGTTTTATATTTTTAAATAATTTGTTGTCCTACTAGTCATGGAAAACAAGTATGGAACTGGCATATGAGCACGGCACATTTTAATATACTTGTGGAGATAACCTAGCCTCATCTTTTTAGGGGGTAAACTGATGGAAAATCTTTTTGGAGGATATTCCGTATTTCAGATAGGTTTCACTGAGTACATGTGACTTTGGGGTATCTATACCAAGACTTCCTTACATGTGCTCTCAACACCCCATGGCTTCCCCTTGCATTCCTGGGGGGTAGTAAGAGGTGGTATGGAATGAAGAGAGACCAGGGCTTGGGATCATCATAACAGCTGTCAGGACCTGTTGAATGCCTCTTGCTAGCCAGGGTTTAACATGAATTTATCCCAGGTGATCTGACTCTTCACAGCACCCTGGGGCGCTGCACAGCAATGGTATAACAATGCTCATTCCCATCCCCACTCTTCTGTACAGGAAAAGAGTGAAAAACTAGTGCTGGAAGAAACAGCTTTTCAAGAAATCGAAAGGGATTTTCAGGAGGTTCTCAATGAACTTTCGGGAGACAAAAGCCTGGAAAAGTTTAGGATTGAATATGAGAAACTTCACGCTGTCATGAAAAAGTCTTATGACAATGAGAAGCGTCTCATGGCCAAGTGCAGAGAGCTTAATGCGGAGATTGTGGTTAATTCCGCCAAGGTGGCCACTGCCCTGAAGGTCTCCCAGGATGATCAGACCACCATCGCATCCCTGAAGAAGGTCAGTGATCTAGCCCTGGAAGCAAGGGAGGGTGACCATCAGTGCGTCCTCTATTTCAGATACCTTTCGTTCACTGTAGGGCAGCTCTGGGCTGGGATAAAAGAGTTAATAAGTAAAACATTCCATGATTTATACATTCATTATGCTTGGCAATAGTGTTCATTTTCAGAGAAAATTATTAGCCCAGGTGAATCTCACTATGCAGAAAATAATGTAGAACTTTACTGGCTTGGTTTCTAAGAAATACTGAGTTAGCAAAAAGAAGTAGCAATGAGAAAGTACAACATGAAGAATCTCGATATGTCTTATTTGATGCAAGATGAGAAATTAAGTATCAAACAATGATAACTTGTTAAAGAGATTTTCGTATTTACACACTTTTTATTGTTTTAGGATAGACTGCCCCAAGAATTCCCAGATACAAATTTTTAACATCTTTCCTCCTTTTACTCCTTTTCCCTACATTGATCTTCCCAGCTCATCCTAACGGGAGGACGGAGATTCAGTCTGGAGGGGTGGGGTGTTGAGGAAATATGCTTTTGCTTTACATCTTTGTTTTTTCATCCTGAAGTGTGCTGCATTATTTTGAAAGCAAAACATATGCGTTCATTGTATATCACAGAGTGACGTGAGGTTAAGGCTTTTTAATTTATAATCAAAACCCTACAGTGAGAAAGAATTTATAAACCGTTTAGGTAATTCCCTTGAGAACATGCAATTAAATATACCCCAATTCAAATGAATTCCTAAGACCAGTGCAAAATAAAACTTAACTCTTTTCTTAGAAACAACCTTTTTCAAATGTCATTTTCTCTCTATTGTCATTTTCTTCTCACTGAAAAACCAGCATAAGAACATTTTAATTCATTTTTAATGGAAAAGACACTCTTATTGTAAATTTAAAAACTGGAAATGGAAGTCATGAATTAATTAAATCTAAATGGTGAAGCTGATTTGGACAAAACATCATATAATCATATTTTCATTTAAAAATTCTTTATTTGTTTGCCCAAAATAGTACATATGGTTGCTACAGAAAAAAACATAGCCCATAAACTGACATTTTGTTTTGAATCTCTAAATTATATGCTGTCATTACCTAAGAGGCATCTGTCTCTCTAATGTAGCAGTGAGCATGAATTTAAATTAAATTAAATATTCTCTTCCACTGACTTTCTTCCTTGTCAACATAAAAGTGGAATGTTTTCCCCTAAAGCTTACAGGTTCTTACCTGTATAAAGGACTCCTATTCCACTTGACAAAATTTTGCAAGGCAGCTAAGTGGCAGGGCGAAACTCAAAGCCATGGCAACATTTACTGTGCTTTGTTTATTTACACAAATGACTGCAATTCACTTTGAAGTATTTATGTTAATATTCCACATTGCATTCCATAACAGTAAGAACGCCAGGGCTGCTTGAGTCATTGTTTCCATTCCCTGCTACGGGTTTGTTTTTTCCCTATAAACATTTGATGAGACGCCTGGGTTTGGAAATTACCAAGGCTGTTATGTACAATTAGGTAACAGCAAGGACCACCTTGCTATGGATTGTTCTAAAGCTCACACTGCTGTCCAGGAGCTTACTTGAGGCTTGAGGACAAAACGTATTTTTCATTTTGCATCTTTTGAGAGCCACAAATTTAGGGCATGGATCCAAGGCCATTCCCTGTGTGCTAAAGCTTATTTTTTTTTTTTCTGTGAAAATTCTAGACTTGGCAATGATACTTAGATTTTGAATTTTATTTTATTATTTTATTATTTTTTCTTTTTAAAGATTTATTTATTTTTTATTTATTTATCCAAGCACTGGGTATACTCAGAAGCGCGGGAGGGTGAGAGAATTCACCAGAGCCAGAGCGGGGAGCAGAGCAGGCAGAGGGACCGAAGTACACTGCTGAGGGGAGCAGCGGGCCACAGGAGAGGTCTGCGCGCCATGTGGGACCCTCCTCCAGTGGCCGGGGAGTAGCTGGAGATCGAACCAGCGCTGCAGAGGCTGTGGGCAGCTTCGCAACCCAGCGCTCAACCACTGCACCACCAGGGAGGCCCTTAGATTTTGAATTTTAAAAACCTGTCTTAACATTTTTATTAGAAAATCTCCCCAGTTGCAGCAGTCTTTGCACTATGTGAGTCTGTAGCCACACTCACCCATACAAGAAAAAAAATGCCCTTTGCCAGCTTGTGTTGAATAATTCAATAAGTCAATATAGACTTTATGGATAATGTATAATATATAATCTTCTTTCCTTATAAATGAAACTCTACTCTGGTTGTCTTAATATCCTATTTACTAAGTTTATCTTGCACCTGCATCCTAGTAAGTTTTTTCTTGTTGACATTCCTTGGCCCATCTAGGAAATTGAGAAGGCCTGGAAGATGGTGGACACAGCCTATGACAAAGAGCAGAAGGCGAAGGACACGATTCTTGCCCTGAAAGAGGAAATAGTGCACCTGACCAAGCTGGTGGAGCAGGGGTCCGGACTGTCCATGGACCAAGATAGCAAGTAGGTCATCCCCTTCTTTTTCTTTTTTTTTTTTTTTAAAGATATATTTATTTATTTATACAAGCACTGGGTACAGTCAGAAGCACGGGAAGGTGAGAGAATTCACCAGAGCCAGAGCGGGGAGCAGAGCAGGCAGACCTACGAAATACACTGCTGAGGGGAGCAGCGGGCACCTCAGGAGAGGTCTGTCGTGCCATGTGGGACCCTCTTGGTGGCCGGGAATCGAACTGGCGCTGCAGAGGCTGCGGGCAGCTCCGCAGCCCAGCACTCAACTGCTGCGCCACTAGTGGAGGCCCAGGTCATCCCCTTCTTGATGCCTGCAGAGCTTGCTGTCACAGAGGCCGCCTTCAGTAGGCAGCCTGGGGCTTGCCTTGTTCTGAATGTTCTTTGTGATACAACACTCTCCTTTGTGGATTTCCCAGAGATTGTTTTCTGTCTGTTGTATTTTTTCCTTTGAATGCTCCTTTTCTCCACACTCAAGAAGTCTTAATCTTATATTAAATGTCTAGTCAGGAGAAAGACATATACCCTTTGGTGTCACTTACAAGTGGAATATAGAGGAACCAAACAAAGGGTCGAAGACAAACTAACAGCAAAGCTGACAATAGAACCAAGGCCACAGAGGGGTGGGGAGGGAGCACAGTGAACTATGGATGCTTTGGTGGTGGGTGTAGTGTGGTAACAACACCTGACAGGGGAGATCCTATACCTCTAAGTTGCAAGCGACATTGTTAACCAATGTCACCTCAATAACAAACAAACAAATAAATTAACTGAGACTCTATGAGTACTACTCTTTCTAAATGAGTAAAAATTTATGTTTATATCTTTAAGACTTGTGTGGAATGAACCTACAACCTTTCTGCCCAGATTCCCAGCTCCTCCCAGGCCCTCCTCACCCCACCCCACGATTAGCTTCATCACTATCCCTCCTCCTCCTCAGATTCTAGGTCAAAAAATGGAGCCGCTCTTCACCCCTCCACTTCTCACTGACTCAGTCTTCTAAGTATTACTTCAGTCTCTCCCTCCTCCCAATGGCCAGTGCCATTGGGGCCCAATGCCCTGTGGGATTTGGCAGTAGATATACTTAACTGGTCTCCTTGTCTGCAAGGACACATCTCCCCTCTTCACTGCCTTCCACATACCATATTTATGCTTCTGAAATTCTAACCTTAGGCTTCTGACTCTGGCATGAACACCTTTGACAGCTGCCCATTCGCAAAGACCGTAGTCCAAAATACAGAACATGTCTCGCAGAGACTTGGTTAGATCTGTCCCAGGCAGCCTTACTGGATTCAGGCCCAGCGATGCCATGCTAGGTCATGCCTCTGACACGTTGGAGCATGTTGTCGGGTATGCAAGAAACGCTATTTCTTCCTCCACATAGTGAACAACTATACATCCTCTAAGATCCATTTCAAAACCCGCTTAACTTTGCCATCATCATCTCTGTTCCAACCTCCTTCCCACGCCCAGACCCAGTGGTTAGATTGCAGAGTCACTCTGTTCTGTGTGCGTAGGACCGCACACCTACCTGCCTCTGGTGTGACACTCATCACTTTGTTTTGAAATGACTTGTTGCTGTGGTCCTTGCTGGCTAGGGCGAACTCCTTGGAGGAAGACACCTTTGCTTTCCCCTCCGGGAGTGTAACACTATGCAGGGCATGCAGCACTTTGCATTAATTGATGCATCAATAATGAGCATATGCTTCCTTGGGCGTCCTTATCCTAACCTAACTGCTCTCTAGATTTATTATGCTTTCTAGATAAATTTATCCAATGCTGAGAGGTAATTCTACATGCAGGTGTTGAGAGGGATGGACTAGGAGAAACAAATAGAAGATGTGTTTGTAATAATGGACTCTATTTCTTTATTAAATAAATCAAGCATAATCAGAGCAACTAATGTCTGAAGAGCAACATGAGGAAACTGATTCAATTAGGAGGTTATTATTTTAATTTTGGGGGTCACATTTTTGCTCTTTCATATGTGCACATGTTCTACTCAGCCTCCAACAAACCACCTGTGCCAGTACCCCTGTGTGCCTCCCCCCACTTCCTTCTGACATCATTAGGAAGGGTTGTAGTGAGAATTGGGCATGGTAAGAAGAACTAGAGCAACTGTCCAGCCCAGAATTTGGCTCCAGCAGTGTGCTCAGGAGTAGTATCTCTCTTCATAGTGACCTACAAGTTTGAGGTTTCATTTCTGGAGAAGAGTTTGAAAGCAGTTTTGAAGGTTCCTATTAAATATTTTTGCTATATCAAAGTTGTTGGCAAATAAACATTGTCAAATTACTGTTCCAAGCAGGCATTTGAGGACTGTCAGCTGCCAGTGTCTCAAGTGCAAGTTCCCTTCTGCTTTCTCAGCTTTAAAGTAACTGCCTGACTTAGATTAATTCTGCTGCACAGGTCATATCATGCATAGTTTTTCCACTCTCAAAATGCTAATTCTGCAGAAAGTCATGCCAAATCATATGTAATACTTTTTGAAATGCCGAGGTAACTGGTTTACAATTCAAATCAATGAATGTTATCACACACCCCCCGAAAACCAGCGTCATGAACGATTTTCCAAATTTTGTTCTTGGGAACATTTTTATCTGGGTTGTGTCCCATTGGGGGAAAATAATCTCTATGGTTGAATGGATAGAAAACTGGCAATGTGTGTTATTTGATTATGTTTATGTTTCATTTTAGGCTTTATAGCTGTGATCAGAGCCCTCCAGTGAACATATTAAACAAATAATTTCCTAAATTAATAATTTTAATTTTTCATTTTCTTAGGATTAATTACAAGAGTTGACGATACTAATATAATGTTATTGTAACAAAATCAAATAATACAGAGGTGTGAAAAGTAAAGAACAAAAATCATCCCCTTAAGTCTTCTACTCTAAATTCCACTCCTCAGAGATAACTAGTTACCAGGTCTGGAGGTCTATAAAAATGCCTGTAACACACACACACACACACACACACACACACTTACGTGCAAACACAAAGACATTGTGATTTTTTAAAAATAAGGAAAGGAATCATATTATCATTGGAATTTCTTTTTCAGTTAATGATTCACAAACAGCTTGCCTGTCAGAGCATAAAGATCTTCCTCTTTTATACCTGAATGGTGTCCACCCAGGGCCCGATGTCTTTCCCATGCAAATGAGCTCAGAGTATGATAAGAAAGACCCCTGACAGGTGACCATTTATTCTGTCTCCTGTGTTCTTCTTTTTAGCATTCGAGATTTACTGAAGTTCAAAGAAGAAGTGACAAAGGAGCGAGACCAGCTCTTGTCAGAAGTGGTGAAATTACGAGAATCCTTAGCTCAGACCACTGAACAGCAGCAAGAAACAGAGCGATCCCGAGAAGAGGCAGAAGTGGCCATCAGTCAGGTCTGTTCACCCAGAAGAGCAAGACGAAGGGCCGTTACCTTCCAGAAGGACATTTTGTCTTTCCACAGGGCCTATTCATTCCTCTCTCAAATCCCTTGGGTGTGCAAAGGAAGCATCTACTGTTCTGCTTGTTTCTTTGGTTTATTCTGGCAAAAGCAGTTGTATTGAGTCATTCCCCCAACATCCTTTGGCTGAGAAGTCCCTGAGGTAGGGTGTTCCCCTCGGTTCTGACCCAAGAAGATGTCCCTGTGAAGGCCAGGGTGCCCTTCATCTTGGGATTGTGAAAGCAGTTTCCCTTTGTCTTTTTTGGTAAGGAAGCCGTTTAGTGGAATTCTTAACTTTTATCTAAAGTCAGAAGTCAAGGGCCTCCCCAGTGGCTCAGCAGTTGAGCGCTGGGTTGCGAAGCTGCCCACAGCCTCTGCAGCACCGGTTCGATCCCCAGCTGCTCCCTGGCCACCGGAGGAGGGTCCCACATGGCGCGCAGACCTCTCCTGCCGCCCGCTGCTCCCCTCAGCAGTGTACTTCGGTCCTTCTGCCTGCTCTGCTCCCAGCTCTGGCTCTGGTGAATTCTCTTGCCTTCCCACACTTCTGACTGTACCCAGTGCTTGTATAAATAAATAAATAAATCTTTAAAAAAAAAAAAAATAAAGTCAGAAGTCAAGCAGATAACACAGGGGTAGTGTCCCGGAGAAAAATACAAGACTTCTTTGAGCATGAGATAAGACCTTTCATGGAATTTGAAGATTTATTTATTTATTTATTTATTTATTTATTTATTTATTTATACATACAAGCACTGGGTATAGTCAGAAGCGCGGGAGGGTGAGAGAATTCACCAGAGCCAGAGAGGGGAGCAGAACAGGCAGATTGACGAAGTACACTGCTGAGGTGAGCAATGGGCATGGCAGGAGAGGTCTGCGCGCCATGTGGGACCCTCCTCTGGTGGCCGGGGAGCAGCCGGGGATCGAACCAGTGCTGCAGAGGCTGTGGGCCGCTTTGCGGTCCAGCGCTTAACCGCTGCACCACCGGGGAGGCCCCCTTTCTTGGAATTTGACCATCAGTACTTGTTTAGTAATATCTGTGACTTGTGGAAGACACAATTTTTTATTTAGGTAGAAGGCTAGATTTTATTTGGTGCCTAGTGATGGAGAATTAGATAAATTCTTTCCATGTTTAACTTCTCTAGAATCTTGGGCTTCCATATTTATTTATTTATTTATTTATTTATTTATTACCATTTTTATGGCTTTTTCCACCATCAGTGTGGATGTTTGGTGTTAAAGCCCTAAAAAACAATACAGAATGTTCTTGAAAATCTTGAACCTTGGGGTTCAAAGATAACTTCCCACTGAGGCACTATAAAGGTTTGCCCTGGAAATGAAGGAGCTGAGAGGGGGGATTTTCTACTAGTCGAGACCTGTCATCTCTAGGAGCTTATCTCTGGCCTCCTGTCCCCTTTGTGCCATAGTTCCAGCAAGAGATCCAGCTACGTCAAAATGAAGCTTCCCGGGAGACTCGGAAGAAGGAAAAACTAGAGAAGGAGCTTAAGCAGATTCAAACTGACATGGACACCCGGCAGTCAGAAATCAAGGCTCTGCAGCAGTATGTGCAGAAGAGCAAGGAGGAGCTTCAGAGGCTGGAACAGCAGCTGAAGGAGCAGAAGGTGGGCTAGGTGTGGGCTGCACCGAGTTTCCTCTCAAAAATAAGGCGCCTTTGTCACAGGCCTGTGGGAGCATTTTGAATTTTCTTTGGAAAACAGCAAACTCCCTTCTCTGTGATTATTATAACACCACACAGCTCCACGTTGGGCTTTTGAATATCCCTTATAGTTACCTTATCTTCCTCTGAACCCCAGCTTCAGCAGGTTGATTTCTTTTTAACCTTCCGTTAACATATAATGTACACACAGAAAAGTGAACATCACAGGTGTGCAACCTGATGAATTCTCTCCACCTGAATGTTGTATCTGGGTTATTTGTACACAGCCTAAGAAACAGCACCCCAAAAGCCTCTTGGTTCCCCTTTCCCTTCATTCTCTGCCTGTTCTGAATTCTAAACAGAATTTAGTTTCACCTGTTTTTATAATTTAAGGAAAATCATACCGGATGTACTCATGTGTGTCTAACTTCTTTCACTTGATATTGGTGGTGGGGTTGATTTATGTTGGTACCACATAGCTAGAGAACTTCTCCATCTGTGCTGTCCAATATGGTAGCTACTAGTCATCTGTGGCTATCTAAATTTGTTTACATAAATTAATAAATTACACAAAACTTACAATCAGTTCAAATGTGCTAGGACCATTTCAAGTGCTCAATAGCCATAGGTGGCCAGTGGATACCATGTTGGACGGCACGGATAGAGAACACTTCTATCAGTACAGAAAGTTCCATCTATTGGACAAACAATTCACTTGCTAGGCCATTCCCTCTCATTGCTGCATTATACTATTCCACTGTGGAATATAGTGTGCTTTATTTTAACAGGTTTATCTTTAAGTTTCAAGTTTAGGAAATCATACTCAGTTTTTAGGTGCTTAAAATAATGCTACTATTTTTAATCTTCCTCCTATACCACTGGTTAAAGGTAAGTTAAGTTGCAAAATTCTCGCCTTTCCCCTCTCATTTCTTAAAGAAGCAATTCATGTAATTGAAAAAAAAGTCATTTCTTGAAAATATTTTCTCTTAGGAAGTCTCCAAAGAATTGTCACATCTTACATTTTTCTACTTAAAAAATGGGTATTAGAATATATTTGTCAGTTGCTTAATTAATTCCATATAAAGTCAGAAATCAAATAGATAATACATAATGTGCAGGTCCATGGGAAAAAGACTACTTTAAGCATGAAATTTTTTTTTTAAAGATTTTATTTATTTATTTATACATGCAAGCACTGGGTACAGTCAGAATTTCGGGAGGGTGAGAGAATTCACCAGAGCTAGAGCGGGGAGCAGAGCAGGCCAGAAGGACAAAAGTACACTGCTGAGGGGAGCAGCGGGGGGCAGGAGAGGTCTGCAAGCCATGTGGGACCCTCCTTCAGTGGCCGGGGAGCAGTTGGGGATAGAACCAGCGCTGCTGAGGCTGCGGGCAGCTTCACAACCCAGTGCTCAACTGCTGCGCCACCGGCGAGGCCCTTAAGCATGAAATTTGAGAGGTATTGGGACATTTTAAGAAAACAACAGTGCTTTGTTTAGCAATATCCAGGAATCATGTAAAACAATGTAATTTTTAGCAAAGCTGTCTATATTTTATTTACTTCTTAATGATGAGAAATTGGATCAGTTTCCCCCATCCCCCATATTTAACTTTTGCTTGCCTGAAAGTTATATTTTGGATTAAATATCTGAATTATTTTCTCTCTTTTTCCTTCAACCCATCTGCTATCCCTCCATCTTCCCAGTATTCTTCAAATAGAAATGACCCTCCCCTACCCCTGCAAATATAATCCTCTGTTCTATGAAACCATGTCTGCTCAGGAAAGCTAGGGAAGAAAGAGGAAACTCTGACACTGAAGCCAGGCCGATAGATATCCCTCATCCCATTGCTGTTCTGTGGTTTGACTTATGTTGGATTAAAAGGGAATTGTTTCTGTGTCGACAGTAGTGAACAGTTCTGCCCACGAAGTGTGGCTGGCATGTTAATGCAGGATTTGCTTCTGAAGATGTAGCTCCCGAGCCCTATAGCTGATAAAACCCGTTTGAATCTCTGGTTCATTTGCAATGATTACAGCAATTGTTGCGTTCACGAAGCCTGCCAAACGGCAAACAGGCATTAAAATATTTATCCACCACCTGTGAACAAGACTTCCCAAGGCTCTCAGATAAAAAAAAATTATGCTCACTGTGTTATTCATTAGAAGGCGTCATTTGCCTAGCCATTTAACATTCATCATGTTTGAGTGCCTGAGTGCTTTCATAGGGGAGAAAGAACAATTTCTACCAAGACAAAAGGAAGTGTGGTTGCTGCTTTTGTCCCAGGAGCTTTCAGGGTGTGTGGACATGCAGATACTGTAATCAGATCAAAAAGCATTAACCAGCTCTTTCTGCACTTTCAGATATTGAATGAGAGAGCTGCGAAGGAACTGGAGCAGTTTCAGATGAGAAATTCTAAACTTCAACAAGAGAATGAGCAACACAGTCTCCTTTGTGAGCAGCTATCCCAGGAAAACCAGCAGAAGGCGTTGGAGCTCAAAGTAAATGCCCATTGGCATATCTGTTCCTTAGCACTCCCTCCCTCTTTTCCTGCTAATAGAGGTTTGCCTTTGTGGTTGGAGCCCTTGATTGGCTCACCCTAGAAGCCTTGGTATAGCAGAGGCAGGCGCAAGCCTATGCGATTGCTTTATGCCCAGAAGCAAACAGTTTGACAACTTCCATTCTTACTCATAAAATTGCAAACCTGATTATTGATTATATGATTATGCAAATGCTTTCCAAAATGAGCTCAGATGTTTGCCCCTGTAATTTAGCCTTGCAAGTAACCCGTTGCCCAGAGCTAGAAACCATTTACATGAGTGAGTGGCGAAGGAGTCAGTTTATATTTTACAACTAGTATGGAGAAGGTGAGACGGGAGGGGTGGGGATGAACAGTACTTTTGGGTCTTCACTTCACTTCTGTCCAGTATGCATTTCAAGACAGATCTGTTCTTTTCCTTGCCCTCCTTGAAGAGTGCTGGCAAATTAAGATTGGATAGCAGTTTTATACTTGGATATATATCGTATGCCTACATTCTTAACAGCGCAGCTTTATGTTTGTCATTTTAATTCTGAAAACCCCATAAACTCTACTCTGGTATGTTAGAATACTAAGCATAAAATGAGTGACCAATCAAGAGTAATGCATAGACTTGAGCAATGAATCATGACAGGTTTTGTATCACAGGCCCTTTTGACAATCCGATGGAAGCATGTGCATGCGTGTGTACACACACACACACACACACACACATTTATTTGTCCATCTTGTATTTTATTTTGCATGCTGTATTAGGAAGTTTCTGGGATTTTTCTGAAGTTTGATCATGGAGTCTGGATAAATAACTACTGAGTTAGAACATCTTAGACTCGAAAGGGACCTTAGGCCAAGTAATTTGGACCCTGTCTGGTCTGAGGCTCAGGAACATTTAGAGCAGTCTAGCGTGGTTTGACTTGAAACCATTCTTTATGAGAATGCCATAAGTTGAAGCAGAATCCAAAAGACTACTTAAGACAAAATAATGTGTGAGGCCCTAAGGTGAAATTAAAGTAAAAATACTTATGCCTTTCATCCATTCTCTCCTTTGATAACATGAATGGGGCACCTTGAGAGATGAACACTTTTGTTATCACATTCTGAACCTATGGGTTCTCTCTTGGGCAATAATCTGAAAATAGCATGTCCAGTTAAATTCAGTCTCTTCACTGTCAAAAGCTGGGCATAATTATTAACCTTTATTTGGAGAAAAAGGACTGGTTGTTTTTCCAGTAATTTCTAAAAGTGGCAAATTTTTAAATAGTGAATTTAATAAATTCAAAAAGCTTGAAGTCCGCAGACAAAAATTGGATGCTTTCCTTTGCTAGAATTTTTGTTTTGGTGCCTTTTGCCGTCTTGTACACTTGCTTATTAATGTTGCCTGGCCCATCTATAGACTCATATTCTCTGAGGAAGGAGAAAGTTCACTTTGTGAGTCTATGAAAATTGTTAATGGAATAAAACATTGGTAGACAAATTTCACACATTTATGATACATACAACTCTATTCTTGTTTGATTCAGTGGTACCTAAGACATCAGATTTGATCAGTCTTTTCATTATTTTTTAGCTTACAGAACCACACATCTTACTCAAAAAGAGTGTTTCAATATCTCTCAAAACTAGTGTGCATTTTGATTTAATCCCATAGAAGAACTTTTCACTGATGTAGGAAGAATTTCCTTTCATCACTCTTGGGTTTGCCATCATCTGCTCACTGACGTGGGCCTGGTTAATCCTCTTGCCCTAATTACAGGCTAAGGAGGACGAAGTCCATCAGATGCGTCTTGACATCGGGAAGCTCAACAAAATCAGGGAACAAATCCACAAGAAATTGCGGCTGATTGAAGAGCAAAAGTCTGATGTGGAGCAGAACAAGGAAACCCTAAAAAATCAGATTGTGGGATTAGAGAGAGGTAACCCAAGATCCATTTGTGCTTTGTTTTATACACTTAGAAACATTTATTGGTAAACCCATATGGCAACTCAAGGTTCCATGGGTACAAACACGAGCCAAGTGAAATGAAATCAGTTAAACAACATTCAAACTGGTAAGTGGCCTCATTTTGAATACCTTAAACATTCTTACCTTCAATTGTTTTCAGCAGGCTCCATTGGCACCCAGAGAGTTCAACCCAAAGTATTGCTCAGTATTCGTCCAGGAGTAAATAATGTCAGTCTTCTTGGATCTGGGGTCTACATGACCTTTAGCTTTAGCCCCTTTTTATCCCACTGAAGATAGGGGACACATTAAAATGAATGTACCCAATTAACATTATATGAGACATGATTACAAAGAATCAGTCGGGCAAAAATAATATGGCTTCTGATTTCTTTCTTCTGTTAGTACTTACTATATAGTGAATTCTTGTTTCAGCCAGCTATAATAACATTGACCTGTGGAGAAAAAACTTAAGTGCCATGGAAGGCCATCTTATGCAGAAAAATCATTAAGGATATAAACTCTGGAGTCAGATCCGGTTGTAGATCCTGCCACTCTCACATACAGTTGTGGGGCGAGGACTACACAAAGCACTTGTGGACAAAGGGCTTGACAATGCATGTGTCTGGCACATAGCTGAACCCTTACTAAATGTCATCTATTATTAGTCAGCTATGTTGCTGTTAAGTAAGGAATAGGATAGGATACTATCTTGGTCTGAAAAAGAATGTACTTAAAAATAGAGTATGCTTGTCAAATTTGGTGTGGCAGAAGCAGCTCTGTACTGGAGACAGGTAATCTGGGTTTGCATTCTGCCTGCAGTGGAATATGTGAGGCAGGAACACCTCACTGGCTTCATAGGGGCTGCTGTGAATTAATAAGTCACAGAATGAGATAACAGATATGACTGCATGAAAACATGCATTGTCTACTTAAGGTGAGGGAAAAATCTAAATGTATAGATAAGATTATTAAGAATATTTGTTATGGTAAATCATTGGGAAGTGCGGATATTTTTCCTCCTAAGACACTAGGAAATAATTTTTTTTAAAGATTTATTTATTTATACAAGAACTATGGTATAGGCCAGAGGTTCGGGAGGGTGAGAGGATTCACCAGAGACAGAGCAGGGAACAGAACAGGCAGATTGATGAAATACACTGCTGAGGGGAGCAGCGGGCGAGACAGGAGAGGTTTTCCATGCCCTGTGGGTGTCTCCCTGGGTGGCCAGGATCAAACCCGTGCTGCTGAGGCTGCAGACAGCTTCACAGTGCTGCACTCAACTGCCTGCATCACCAGGGGAGGCCCAGGAAATAATTTTTTTATTGAGGTGCAGTTAAGGCTTAGTTCAATAGTTTCTCCATTCATTCATTCATTCATTCATACATTTATTCATTCAATGATTTGTGTGACTACTATGTGCTGGCGCTATGCTAGCCATTGGGTGCACAGAGATCCCTGTCTCATAATGCTTAGTCTTGTGGAAGCTACAGTCTGATGTCTTCAATGACATAGATGAGGAAAAATGGAACTACTGTAAGCACTTGCTTTGCATTTGGCTTAGTAACATTGAAAGCATCCCTATATTTAATAAGTTCCTATATTTTTCCTTGAAATAGTTCTTAGCTAAAAAAAATTACTTACAGAAATAATATATACATATATAGTGTATTAAAAATATATTTATCCATTCAGCATTGAAACGATTTCTTTTTTTTTTTTAAATAATAAATTTTATTTTTATATTCCCCCATACAATTGCAAACGCCCCATTCTGACCCCAATCCTTCCCCTCCCGCCCCCCACCCCCCAAAAAGTGTCTCTGGTTCATAGTTTTTTGTTGATTTTGATTTTCACTTTCTTATATTCATTTTCCTGGTCCCTTATTTAAGTTTTCTAGATTCCTGCTATGAGTGAGACCATCCGGTATTTTTCTTTTTCTTTTTGGCTTATTTCGCTGAGCATGATCCCTTCCAGCGCCATCCATGTTGCTGCAAATTGCATGTGTTTATCTTTTTTGAATGCTGAGTAATATTCCATGGTATATATGTACCACATCTTCTTGATCCAGTCATCTACTTTTGGGCATTTGGGCTGTTTCCAAAGCTTAGCTATTGTAAACAGTGCTGCTTGAAACGATTTCTTTATTCTTAAATCCTATTTACTGAAGTCATCAGAATTTATCTTCTTGTTAGTTTTTGGATATTGTTAACATTCTTATTTACTCCTTGAGACCTTTTTTATATGCCCACCAAGGAATGGCATTGGATATAATTGTCAGGAACATCAGTCCTCCCTTTGTTATGATTTCTTCTTTTTTTAAGATTTATTTATTTATGCATACAAGAACTGGGGTGTAAGCCAGAGGTGCCGGGGTGAGAGGATTCACCAGAGTGAGTGGGGAGCAGAAAAGGAAGATCTACTGAAATACACTGCTGAGGGGACCAGCAGGCGAGAGAGAAGAGGCCTTCTGCACCATGGGGGTTGCTCCCTGGCAGACCAGGAATAGAACTTGTGCTGCAGAGGCTGCCGATAGCTTGATAGCGCTGTCCTTAACCCCTGTGCCACTAGGGAGTCTTCCCTTTATTATGATTTCTTGCCACAAAAATTAAAAAAAAAATGGTAAATGCCAGAACTAAGAAGAGTTCAGTAGAGTGGCAGGTTATAAAATAAATATATGGATATCAATATCTTTTTTTGTACAAAGAAGTAGACTATGGGATAGAAAAAATCCCCTTTCACAATATCCCTTTTGTAATAGCAACTAAACTAATATGATATTGATGAATAAAGCTACTAAAATAAATGTGAAGTCTATGTATAAATAACATCACAGAATTCCATTGAGAGGGGTATGACAGAAGACCTGGAAAATGGAGAGATATGCCAAATTCCTGGATAAGAAAACTCAATATAATAAAAATATAAGTCTGTCCAAATTAGTCTATACATGTAATATTTCCCACAAAAATTTTACTGAGTTATGTTGTTTGGACAAGAAAAATGAGTATAGAGTGCCATTGGAAGAGTAAATGAGACAATAGCCATAAAATTCTGTAAAAGAAGAGTGATGAAGGAACATTTCCTTTCCAGATGTTTAAATGTATTATATAAGCCTCAGGAGTCAAGTAGTGTTGAGAAAATGTCTGAAAAAGCAGATCGATAGAACAGATTGCAAAGACCACAAAAGACAAAAAATTGTCATTTAAAATCAAGGTGTTGTTTCATATCAGTGGGCAGTATAGGTTATTAAGAAAATGGTGACATAATAATAAGCTACCTTTGGGGGAAAAGTGTTAACACCAAATGGGAAAACCTGAAGCCAAGATTGAGAGATTTAATGAAATTAAAACTTTTTTTTAAATATAGGTGTATAGATAAAAGCTGTATAGATAATAGGCTGTATAGATAAAGGCTTATTGACCAAAATATTGTCATAGGATCAGTATCCTTACTATATATAAGGAGCTCATACAAATCCACAAGAAGGATAAACAATTGAGAAAAATGGGCAAAGGGTAAAAGTGGACAATTTGAAAAAATAGAAATACAAATAAATGATCATTAAACATGAAAAAGTAGTCAGCTCTGTTATTAATCAAAGCAATGTACATTAAATACAGATGTATTGGTTTAAAAAATATTGGATTGTCAAAGATCAAGGTGAAGGATAATACCTGGGGTGGTTTGGGTGTGGATTTAAATGCTATTAATTTTCTGGAGAGAAGTTTGACAATAGAGAGGAATGTCTTTGAAAAAAAAAATCCCCTTTCATACAGGATTTCCTCCTCTGCAGGTAAAAATGAATAAGAATTTTCACAGGATTATCGCTTATAATTGCACAAAAGGAAAAGAAAAAGGAAACAGCTTGAATGTTAAATGGGGGATTGGCTAAGTACATTATCCATTTTTATACAGTGAAAGTTATTTTGTTTGTTAGTTATAAAAACAAGCTATAAAACTGTAGGTACCGTCTGATTCCCTTTTGATGTAGAAGTATAGGAATATATATATTTGTACTTGTAGTCACACATACACATTTGCATGTTGAAAAGTCTTAAAGGGACTTGTCAAAGTCCTAAATAGATTTTGGAAGATTTAAACTTTGTTCCCTTTTTAAAAATTTGTACCTCTAATTTCTTTCTGTATCTTTAATGACTTGTATAATAAAAAAGATTCAAAAAGAGCAAGGATTTTTTGGAATTAGAGGAACCCGGCCTCCAATCTCAGCCCTGTTACCTCTTATCTGCAGACCCCTGGCCTGTACTTAAACTTGCTAAGCCTCAGTTTTCATCTCTTTAGTGGGAAAGGAAGACCTGCCTCACTGAGTTATAAGGAAAATCATGTGACACTCAATAAACACTAGTTTTATAATTTCAGGCAATCATACAAAGCAGTTTTTGTATCGCTCTGGCAGATTCTTTGTTAGGTTGACTATTTATTATTATTTTTATCCCTGATTATTTAGAGCTGGAGACTTCAAAGAAACAAGCAGAACTTGATAAGAAAGCAATGGATGAGCTTCTGAGAGAAAGAGACATATTAAATAAGGTGAGTTTGTTGCAGTAACATGGTAAATAAGATGTCTCTCTTTAGTGCAATACTATCTGTCTATAACTGGTTGTGTAGGGAAGGAAAACTCCGAGGCAAACAAAAGCAGATTAGAATAAATAATAGTGCTGGGTTTTCCTCTAAGCTGCTGTCTGCAGTCCACCATTCCCTGGCCCTCAATTGAAACTGCATTATCATCTGTGAGCACAAAGTGACTTTGGAGAATTATCATAGCAACTAGCAGGGGATTTCAGAGTGTTCTCTTTTTGTGGCTAGTGTATTATTCAGCATCATAAACAGTTGATCCAAATTCCTGAATTTAATGCCTGTAATATGCATCTTTTGCTAATCCAGAAAATACACTTGATCTTAGCCAAAAGGCGGAGAAGTGATCAGAAAATAGAGTGACTATTAATAAAAATCTAACTTGGTAGTGTTAGGTGTGTGCATGGCATGGCTGGTTGGCGATACAAAGAGTCTAATCTTTCTTCCATCTTTTCAGGGTTGTTCTCGGTTTGTTTTTTTTTCCCCCAACCCTTATCCTTTCTAGTCATTAAGCTCAATGTGGTGCAAAACTGAGGGAGGGTTTGGGGGGAGCTTGAGGCCTAGAGGTCCTCCATTTAAGTCAGGATGCCACCCACCCGCCCCCCCAACATTTCTGCCTCTCCCTGACCCCTCCAGAGAATTCCTTCCATGCGAGGTCATTCATAGGAGAAAACTGCTTTCAAGGATTTAGGGTAAATGTTTCTGCTCAAGGATTTCCTCCAGGAAGGGAAAAACTACAATCCAGGCATCCAATGGGGAGGCTGCTTCCATAACAGGCTGATGGCCTAGAAGCTTCACCTGTCAGAGTAGAAACAGCCCAGATTCATTCACTCTGACTTTCATTATTTTTCTAGGTTTCTGCAAATTCAACAGATGTTAACAAAATGGGCCATTAGCTTGCTGTGGATTATTCAGGGACTCTCAGGAGATAGTAGGAGATTCAATATCTTTAAACATTGAGCACTCCTTAAGAAAATCATTGAATTTTTTTTGTTTGCATAATCCTGGAAACTGTTCCTTTATTCTTCAAATTTGTACATGTAAACAATATCATTGGATTTAGATTTTTCAAATTTATTTTGAACATGTACAATATTTATTTATTTATTTTTAAAAAATATTTTATTTTATATAATTCTTACAGCTTTTTTCATCTTTGCACAATGTATGCATTTTCATTTTGGTTATATTCCCCATACAGTTGCACCCCCCCTTGAACACATACAATATTTATTCCATTTATATTTTATGTATACTGGTAAATCATTCACTAATAGATTCCTTGCCACGATAAGCCATGTAGGCCAACATGCATTATACATTTATTTGTTCGGTTTGACTAATGTCAACTCCTCCTTTAGGACTGGGTTTATATATTTTTTTCTTTCCTGACCATTATGTCCTTAGTTCCTGACATGGCGCCCAATCCTCTGCAGGTAAAATGCTCAACCTTTAGCGATAGTACATTCTTTTCCCTCTGACGTGAACTGCCACCTTCATCAAATAAATGAGTGACACAGTTTTGACAGGCAGCACTGTTAATATGTTTTGGTTCTTTCAGTGTCATGTTGAAGTGACTTTATCTTTTATAGAGCAAATGTTTAATTCAGTACTTGAAAATAGAGTCAACCTTTTCTATTTTCTACACCATCACCCAAGCAAGGTTTAATGTGCCTTTTACCTGTTTATATTCCAGTGGCTTTCGGACCTGGCTGCAGGTCTGTATTGATTAGAGATTTGGGAAGGTACCTTGTGGAACCCAAGGATATAGCTGGACTTCAGGAACTGATAGGAACTTGGGCTGGTGGTCTGGGGAATCACAGCAAACCCTTTCTCTCTATTATTGAGACCTCATCCTTTCTTTCAGTTAAGATTGTTGTTCTGTTTCCCAGTCAATATGCAGAAAAACACTGTCACAAACAGCTTCCAAGTTCGTGAGTTGCAAAAATCTGAAGGCCCTGTGTCAAAAGTTTCTGGGAAGGGCCACCAGGTCCACTCACCTGTGACGAGAAAAAGAGACCCTTTTGCTTGGTCATAGCCACTAGAGTTGCACGGCTATTAACTCCCCAAACCTCTGCCATTTCTAGTATATGTGCTGCCGAAGCAAACACAAACCTCTGCCATTTCTATTTCAGTATAAGAAGCCACCAGTGCAGGATTTAAAAAATATCTACAGAGCCTCCCTAGTGGCGCAAGGGGTTAAGACAGCTATGAGGCTAGCTGCAGCCACTGCAGCACTAGTTTGATCCCTGGCCAGGGAGCTACCCACATGGCACAGCAGACCTCTCATGCCTCGCCTGCTGCTTCCCTCAGCAGTGTGTTTCAGTCAATCTGCCTGTTCTACTCCCCACTCTGTGAATCCTCTCACCCCCCTATACCTCTGGCCTGTACCCCAGTTCTTTGTATGCATAAATAAATAAATCTTTAAAAATAAACAAACAAACAAACAAATAAATAAATAAATATCTACATGCTTGGATCTCATCCAGATCTACTAAATCAGAATCTTTGGAATTGAGACATGCATTTTTGTTTTTTAAAAAACTGGGTTAATTTTTTTTTATTGTGGTAAAATACGTGAAGCAATATATGCCTTTAGTGACATTTAGTATGTTCACAATGTCATGCCACCGTCACTACTATCTATTCCAGAACATTCTCATCACTCTGAAAGGAAGTCCTGTACCTGTCACTTTCTAGTTCCCTTCTTTCACCCTTGATGACTACTATTCTGTTTTCTGATTCTGTGGATTTGACCATTTTTTATATAACTGGAATTGCATAACAAGTGAACTTTTATATCTGGGCTCTTTCTTGGAGAATAATGTTTTCAAGCTCTAACCATGTTGTAGCATGTATCAAGGCTTCCTTTCTTTTTTATGGCTGACTAATATTTCACTGTAATGGTTGTTTATCTCTTCATCACTTGATGGACATTTGGGTTGCTCCCACTTTTGGCCCTTATGAATAGCGCTACTGTGAATGTTCAAGTACAAATTTTTTTTTGAACAAGGTTTTGTTGAATTGGGTTGAACCCAATTCTTTTGGGTATCTACCTAGGAATGAAATTGTTGAATCAGATGTTGATTCTAGGCATCTGAATTTTTAATAAGATGGTTTTGTTTTATTTTTTGGTCAAAGTCCATGTTACATAATTAGGTTCAGTTGTTGTAACCTTACAAGTAAAGGCTAGATGGAGGTTGAAAAAGCATGGACTTTGGGGTAAGCCAGCTTGGATTCAAATTCTGACTCTGCCACTAACTCCCTTATTTTTTTTTAAAAGATTTTATTTATTTATACAAGAATTGGGGTACAGGTCAGAGGCGTGGGAGGGTGAGATAATTCACCAGAGACAGAGTGGTGAGCAAAACAGGCATATTGATCGAATACACTGCTGAGGGGAGCAGTGGGCAAGGCAGGAGAGGTCTGCCACACCATGTGGGTTTCTACCTAGCCGGGCAGGAATTGAACCTGCGCTGCAGAGGCTGCAGACTGCTTCACAGCACAGCGTTCAACCTGCTGCGCCACTGGAGAGGCCCACTTACTCCCTTATTGTATGAACCTGTAGGCAAGCAACTTCTCCTGCTACCTCTCAGTCTGTTTCCTATGCTAAAATGGGTGCAATACAATAGCCACTTCTTAGGGATAGTGTGGTTGCTTAGTATATTTATATCTGTGTTTAAGTGCTTTGTGCAAAATTAACATAAGCTCTTACAAAGCAGTAGAGAATAATTATTTTGATTCATTAAAAAGTATGCATCAAATTATTTTTAGGGATGAGACCAGGGGTAAATTTAACCCCAAATCCCTAAACATTTTGAGTAATGTGACAGCTCTAGTGTACTTATTTTTAGAATATGCTTAAAGCGGTCAATGCGACCCAGAAACAGATAGACCTGGTAAAGCTCCATGAGCAAGCCAAAAGGAACCTGGAGGAAGAAATCCAGAACTACAAAGATGAGGCTCAGAAGCAAAGAAAGATCATCTTTCAACTGGAAAAGGAGCGAGATCGGTACATTAATGAAGCCAGTGATCTTACCCAAAAGGTAAGCCATTCCTGGACCGGTGGGTGGGACTGGCATCTTTTTTTCTGATTGTCTCACATCATTGCAAAGAGGAAGACTTCTCAGATTTCAGTTGTGGTCCACATGAAGATTTTAGAGGAATGTTGTTGGAATAAAAATGGCCCCAGAGTTGATCCTGGGCCACGTTGTGAAATGGACAAGTCATTTACTTGGTGATCTTTTCAGAACCCCTTTCTCAATTTCTTGCTCTCTCTCTTTCCTGTGGCTCCACTGTGCAGGATCCCCAGGTTGGCCTTCCCATCTCTCAGCCCTTCTTTCTCACCCTCCATCTGTCACTGAACCTTCTGTCCCTCACAAGGATTCCAACTTTAATTGTTAGGAGACGAGTGCTTGATTAGATGACTTCAGATTAAGATGGGAGGGACTATAGGTCTCAGCTAATGTGTCACAACTCCCAAAAGCATTTTTATTTTAAAACTATTGTAAACCTAAAACCTCATCAGTGGTGGAAATACACCAGTGCTGCTGCTTGTGAACTGCTTCAGAAAGGAAGGCAGTCTTATTAAGGATGACCCAGGGATTTGGACTATACTTTGACTACTTATTTTAGCACATGGCCTACATTAGGCACAAATGGGTAGACCAGTGCTCTCTTGAGTGCATTGCAGATGGCACAGAACAGAGGTTTCAGGGTGTGGTGGAGGCCTGTGAATGCAGTTTCAGTTACGAGGCTGAGAAACCAGCAGCAAGTTCTCCTGTGTTTACCAATGCTCTTGCATCTTTGTTTTGTTTTGGAGGGGAATCTCAAAGATGATGAGAAAGGGATAGTTAGCATTTGAGATATAAACAAAAAGTAGGAAACACCTTAACTAGTAGGAAATCAGCTTCTTCCCACTGAGACAAAATAAATGCTGAGCAGATATTTCAGAATATACATTTGGAGGAGCACGTGTCTTCCTTGTCTAAGAGGCCCAAGTGATCCCCCTGTCCCTGATGGGAAGCCCTTGGAATGAGGCCCATTTCTCTTCCCATGTAACCATCCAAGAATCTCAATTGATTGATTTACTGACTCTGAGAGGACTAGTTGTCAGTGCAGGCACTCCTGTTCGCTAGCTTGGGTTAGCCCATTAACCTCTGTATCTGTCAGCTTCAACTGTAACAATCTCGGTGGCTTATAACCATAGAGATCTATTTAATTTTGCTCACATTAATGGCCTTTGAAGGTCAGCAGCAGCCCTGCTTCACAACCTCTTCACTCCAGGCTGACTCCGTTGGGATGTGCTGGCCAATTACAGAGGGAAGAGTGGACCTTCTGATGATCTCAGAGCTTCTGCTGGCAAGGGCCTGTCCACTCATATTACTCAGCCAAAACAAGTCACGTGGGTAAGCCTGACAAGCTGGGTAGGAGTATGATCCCTCTAAGAGAGGGCCCTGTGTGGTGAGGCGGTGAGCTACCTGAGCAAACAGGCTGTTGCAGGCTCCTGTTTCTCCTTCCTTGTTATCAGCCTCTCTCTCCTCCTGGCTGCCGTCACACTGCTGGAGCTAACTGTTAAAAAGTTCCAATGTGACCTTATTATTACTCCAGGCTTTGCAAACCTCTGTCGCCTCTTTGCAACCTGAGCCTACACTTCTTAAAAGTTTTCTCATCCCAGCACGAGTAGAAAATCATGTGCATGTGGCATGTGGAAAGAAGAGGAATGAGACTATTTGGGGCTGGAGGGGACTCACCCAGGGGTGCTAGTGTCCTACCTGTTCACCCCGTGGGTAGAGTGAATCATCATTTTGGTGTCCATCTGTGACTCATTCAAGACACAATAATTGATGTACTCTCACCTATGGGACTGAGTCCAGGCTCTCTGTTCTCCCTGGAAAGAGTCTTTGCTCCCCTTCTCTGTGTGGTAGAGTCCTATTCGTCCTTCAGAATCACCTCAAATGCTCATCTCTGAGGTCAAACCTGCTCTGACCCCTTTGGCAGAGGGGTTTCTTTCTCCTTTATGAATTAGTTGTTATCTCTGGAATGGCATTTATCACCCTCAAGTGTGATTTTTTTATTTGCAGATTTGTTCTCCTTACTTTGCAGTGAGCTCTGGGGAGCAAGGATTATATCTCATTCATGTCTTTATTTCCAGAGTTCTGATTAATAGCAGGCACCCAACAAGTGTCTGTGTAAATGGAAAGATGATGAGAGGCACAAAGAATGCTGCCACTGATTGTAATACGGGATTGTATGTTTCTCTTCTTCCTTGGAAAAGAGAGATACTGGTACCTAGTGTTGCTGTTAGCTGCTTTTCACAATTTCTGATGTTTAATTCACAAGATTATATAATGTCTCACCTAAATAATTTAAGCATAAGTTCTTAAAATACTATTTATCAACTGCAGTTTTTCTGTCTCTATCCTAATGCCTGACAGCATATATCAGTTACTATAGCAACTTGTTTCACCTCCGGACTTTTGATTAAGGGCATGTATATCTTTTGGCCCCCTCCCTATATTTCTTTCTTCCTTTACTGTGTCTGACACACACACACACACACACACACACATACACACACACACACACACCACCCCCCCTCCCCCACACATACACTCTTTGGACAAATAAAATTTCTTTCCTATTTATAGGGAATTGAGGAATAATATGGGTTGGGGAAGATGGCAGGAAATTGATATTTTTATCTACTTCTAAAGTGAGTAAACATTTTAGTTTTATCCTTGTACCCCAGTAATTTCTTTTGTAAAAATTGAATCTATGGAAAAAATGAGAAATGCATTTTTTTTATAAAATACTATTCTTCAAAATAAATTTTGCTACATTTATTTGATACAGTATTAGGTAGCCATTAAAATCAGGTGCTTGAAAAATGTTTTAAGTGGGGAATGTGTTCACAGCATAGTTATGATAAAAATGGAATGTAAGATAATTTGTATGGTTTTACTGCAAATTCATCTGTATGCAGGATGGAGGCATATGTCATGGGGTGACTGTGAGGATTAAATGAGGTGATATTTGTAAGTATTTAGAACAATCTGGCACATAGCAAGTGCTATGTAAGTATTTCAAAAAGAGACTAACACATTTGTTGATAAATGGTACAGAGCTTTTCCTTAAAATGGCATTTAAATATAGCCATTCTCAACTTCTTGTTAAATGCCAATAGGGTGTAGCCATAGATAGAAAGTTTTAATAGCATCCAGCACTAAAGCTGACAGAAAGCTAATGCTAAAATGGAAGAAAAGGGAATGGGTGGGAATTGTAAAGCCTACAGAGGTGAATTGAGAAAATGCATCCGAACCTCAACTCACAGACCCTTGAACTTGCTTCAGAAAAGAGAGTCTCTGAGAAGAGTTGGAGATGCCTCAGAGCTCTCCCGCCATCTCTTCCCTGCCTTGGGGCTGTGTGACCCAGGAACTGACCAAGTGTCACCTCGACTTGCCAACTATTTCTGCCCAGTGGTTCTGTCCCGCAGACCTGGAGAACAAGCAGGCAGGCCATGGGGAAGTGTCTTACAGTGCATTCTGAGGAGGGGGATTTAGGGTGTATGGGCAGAGGCAATCATCCCCAGAAGGGGGGTATGCCAGGAATTACAGTTTTCTTTCTGCCTCATGAGCACAGGGCCACAGGGAGAAGGCAGAAGGCCCTGGGTGCCTCTGAATGCCGAAGTGGAGAAAAACTAGGGATTGGGAGCTAACTTGGACCCTACACGTCACTGTATTTGTAGCTGCAGATTTACAAGTGGATTCCAGCCCCACTTGTGCTAGACCCCTCCATGGTGCTGTTCTTCAGATTACAGTCCATCCTACTTCTTCAAGGGTGAATTAGGGAAAAAAGCAGATTCATAGGGACTATGGGGAAAATGTGCTTTTTCCCCATAGAAAGAGGCTGGACTCTGGGAGCCTCAGGGTAAAAATCTAGCTCTGAAAATTCATCTATGGTAGGTATTTTGATCAAGCTCTCTGAAAGCCATTTTTTATAAGTAAAAGTTGACTCTCACTGATTTCCTGAGGTTCAACCTTATAGAAGACAATGCAGAGAGAAGGTTTGACTTCCTTCAAAGGTTGTAAATATGTAAAACCTGGTGCCTAGTTTCTTCTAATAGGAAGAAGAATCTTTGCTGAGCAAAATGCCTTGGTATCTGGCTGATAAACCAGAGTGAACAAAGTCAGGGTAAAGGAACAGATATTGGGAAGGGAAGGGAGCATGGTGAGCTGGAAATATGGGGATCAGAGAGAGAACAGGCAACACCCCTGCCAAGGCACTAGGCTAGGATCTCGGGGACAGCCAGCCAGTGAGGAGTTCCCTAGAGGCAGGAATGATGGAGGAACTGCCAAGAGCAGAGGTACCCCAAATTTGATTTTAAGTTCTTCCCTGTGCTGTGTACCTTAAACCTTCAATGACAGTCTGTTCATCAGCCCTGAGATGGATTATATTTTGTGGGGGCAGGAGCGGGATGGTGAAGGGTGTGAGGCCACACATCCTGGAGAAGGGGTAGCAGGAGCAAGAGCCAAGGGACTCACTGGGAATCCAGAATGCCAGGGAGACAAGAAATAGAAGCCACAACAAGTGGGAGATGAATTCCTGGACATAGTAGATGACATACTCGGTTTCCTAGCGTTCAGAAAGGGCATTCTCAACTTTTCGTCATTGTCATCATTACAGATGGGGTGATGCCAGCAGAATATAGGACAATCATCTGGGTTATATGTTCAAGATGACTTTACCTCTGGGGTATTACAAAGTCAAAACAAAAAGGAAGAGATGGATAAAATAAGGAAAGCTAAAAAAAATTAAAAAAATTAAAATAAATGAATGCTTATAAAGAGACCCCAAAATAAACAGAGTCCAAACAGAATAAACACTGATTTAAAATTCCCATTGAAGACAATAAAAACAGAATGGATGTGGTGGACAGGGGGAGCCTGGAAAATGGAGGTGCATACTTGATGAGGTCTCTTAGAATGTAGAGGGGACAAAATGAAAGAAAAATTCTCAAAGAGCTGAAAAGATAAGAAATAAGAAGCACAGGGAATAGAAACCCACATGTGGTCTGCTGGCTCTGATGGTCGCTCGGTGAACCAAGGTGTGATGGGGAAACATTTCTGGAGATGAAGAAGGAGTGGGGGTGTGAATGGATGATGTCCCTGGCACAGGTAGAGATGGGAGAATTTCCTGTGGACTTACTCTGGAACAAAGTGAGTTTGTGTGTGTGTGTGTGTGTGTGTGTGTGTGCTCACTTACCTACAGTGAAGAAGAGTACTCTTTTTAGAAGTTATTATTTTAAATTGGAAAAAGAGTGGAGGGAAATACACCAACACATTAATAGTGATCTCTGGGTGGTAGGACTACAGCCTGTTTAAATTTCTCCCTTTTGTGCTTTTTGTAGTTTTCTAAAGTGAATTTTTAAAAAAATATTTAGTTATGCAAGAACCGGGGTACAGGCCAGATGCTCAGGAGAGTGAGAGGATTCACCAGAGACAGAGCGGGGAACAGAACAGGCAGATTGACGAAATACATTGCTGAGGGAGCAGCGGGCGCGGCAGGAGAGGTCTGCCCTGCCATGTGGGATTCTCGTCGGCCAGCTGGGATCGAACCCGCGCTGCAGAGGCTGTGGACAGTCTCACAGCGCGGTGCTCAACCACCTGCGCCACCTGGGAGGCCCACTAAAATGAATTTGTATCACTTTAGTATCCTGACAAAAATACAGAGAAAAAGTGTTCATAAAACCTTGCCATTCTTCTGCACCAAATAATACTACATGTTCCCTAAGGAGATTTATTAACCGTGATCACTGACCCTTTGGGACTTGGCTTCCGGTCTTTGGCAGGTGGGCAAATCCGTGTGAAGTCACCATTACTCGTGTGTCTGCCTTGTCCATGTACATGTTCCTTGAGGGCAGTTCTCACCCAATTTTTATCTTTTCATATTATTTATTAATCAGGTTTTTTGAAAAGAATAGCTAGAAAGCATAATTAGATCTCTCAATGAACTAGTCAAGTCCAGCTTTTAGATATTTATATTAAATTCTTTGATAATGTATTTACCACTGTGTGTCTCCCCTTCCCCTAAATTCATTCGAAATATGCTGCTGTACTAGACAATTTTATCTGATTTAACCTTGACAGTTTCAGCCGAGAATGACCTGTGGCATGATCTATTCTTCTACCATGGTATCGAGATTTGCCTTCTGGTTCTTTCTGTTTCGAGAAAGAAAGGTGAAATCTACAATATGGAAAGCCCTACTTTTCATGTTATTAATTTCACTTGGAATTACACAGAAGAAAAAGACAATCCCCTTAGTGTCAGAACTGGATGTTTCTTAATCCCAAACCCTTTTTCTTGTGTTTGTCACAGTCCACACTCACCATAGCAATGCTGTGTAACACACACTCACACCCCTTCTCTGGCCTGTCCAGCTGAGCTCCTGCTTCTCACTAACATCCCCGCAGTAGGCTAGGGGATCAGCTGATCTTGGCTGGGCGTGGCTCAGGACTGTGGGTCAGGTCCAGTTCTGCTGTTTCTCATCCTCTAGGATGCTTGTTCTCATGGGGAAAGGAAGGATGGGAACAGAGAAACACAACGACATAAACACACTTCCATGACTCTCAACCTGCCTAACATTCTTTTACCACCTCTTGGCAAGTCATGGGCCAAGCCAGGTCTCGACAGAACCCTCCAAAGTAGGCTGTGGGGACAGGGGCAGGAGTGATGAACTGTAAGATAATTGGCTACAGGGTTTCAGCAGTTTCTATTGGCATGGTTTTTCTTGTGCCATATTCTAAATTTTACTGTTGAAATAAATTGAGAGGGACCAGAAGTGACATTTTAAGTTGTGAGCCACCATATTTATTCTTTCTAGAACTTTTAAAAAACACGATAAAACCATTCTTACTTAATTATTAAACCTGCCAAACATTTTGATTTCATGTACTTGGTTCATTTTAGGACCTCTCTTTTTCATTCTAAATACTAAACTGGCAATTGCTTTCCAAACATTTTATGTGGCAGAAAGCATACTTTCACAATGTTTTCCTTCCTGCAAGTTTTAGCTCTCTGTTTATTTTCCTCGACAGTATCAGGTAAAGCTCCTCTAGACAGAGATTCCTAGAAAGGAATAATAATGTACTTTCAAGGCCTTAGTGAGAAAAGCAAAAGTGATCAAAGAATTATTGTTCACTGAATAGGTGTCTTCATAATGGAATAAAACTTCTATTTCTTTGATATTAATTTGAAGTTTCACGCAGAGCATTTTTAATAGGGCAGAACCTTGGAGAGGGACTTCAAGGGGACATGTGCAAATTATAAGCCTTTTGTGTTATAATAAAAAGAATTGTCCTGTGGATCACTGTTTTCCTGAAGAATTTGACCCATAGAAAAATCAAATTGATTTGTTAAATACCGATATTATACAATATGACTTAATATTTCTTAAATGATTAAATTACTTTAGGCCAGGTAGTTATTTGATGGCACAAATATTTATTCTCACCTCCATTCTCACAATAGCCCCAGGAGGTAGATAGTATCACATTCCCTGTGCTATAGTATAACATAATATGGTATCAAAAACCAGACAGAAACAGAAACATGCCTCGCTAAACCTAGGAGAGGATAAAATAAGAGAGAGAAAAATAGGGAAAACTTAAAATTTCCTATGCCTGGACATGTGGGTGTTTTCTTTTTCATTGTAAGTTTTTCAGTCCCATTGTGGAGGTAAAGGCATTGTCAGCATTCAGACCATTGACATTGAGTCAGAAAAACTTATTTGGGAAGTTTATTGTACTGATATTTCATCAAATGTAAGTTAAAGGGTTCCAAATTCAGTGACCTACTTTCTTATCTATATGATGTTTTGACTATGCTGCAGATTTTCAGCTTGCGTTATTGATTTTTATCTCACTCTTATTTCTATTGGCAGGTTGTTTTAACAGAAAAAGGAAAGGTAGGAGTAGGTTATAAACTGGGACTGTGTCCTCAGAGTGCACGGTAAGCATTTTCTGGGCTCCTCTGAAGTGAGCTTACAAACGTTAGGAGCTTCAACTCTCTGACTGTAATAAAACTTTCTATATTTGGATGTGATTTATCTCATCCAAGTTGGTTTGAGGTATGGAAAGTCTAATCAATTAATGAAGCTCCGGCTCACATCCTGTGATATACCTTTTTTAACGGGGGTCATTTTGCTGACGAAAGGTTTTGCTCTTAACACCTCACACAATTTATGCATTTTCAGGATTTCCACTTCTATGTGACATCAGTTTGAATGATTTCCATCAAAACAAATTTAGTACCAACACTTAGAATGAAATTGCTCTGTAAATTATCTTTTCCCTTGGTTTCAATACCTGTTTTTTCTTTCTTTGTCATGCATGGAGATACCTTTGATCTTCCTGGTATCATGATGGTTTGTATGCTCCCAGCTTCAAAAATACTAAAGCATGTTTGTGACTTTGTGTACTGTTATGTATAGGAATATGGGCCCTGTTAGTTGGAGGCGCCGAAAAGAAACATTATGGGTTGCATCCTTCCTCTGGAGGGAGCAGCCTCTGTCCACACAAAGTAGTATTCTTGTTATAACATCTCTCAAAGTAATTGAACAAGAAATTTTTTCTCTGATATGCTGCTTGATATTCTGAATGCTTATGATGCTCTTCAAAGTCTTTTCAATCTGTTTGTTTCACTAACCCCAGAGAGGGTGTTGTCATGTCCATGCAGAAAGGCTAAATTTTAGTGCTTCTCTTAAAAAAGAATCAAATAAAAGATGCAGGATTGGATGCCTTACTTAGGTTTCACATTTATTCCTAAGTTAAACATTTTAGTCACCAGTCATGCTTAAGGATTTGAATGATACGAATCAAAAAAAAGATGGAAAAAGGAATGAGATTTCTTTTTATTTCAGATATATCTCTATGCCTATTCTTCATACCTCCTTGCCTCTGATTCTCTAATTTTGCCATGACCAGGTCTCCAATCAACCAACCAAGCCTTTCACCACTAAGTCTGTATATATCTTAACTTATGCCATTCCCCCTGTTCTCCATATCAAGTCAATGACAGAAATTAATAATAGAAACATAGTAAAAGCATATGTAAGTACTTTGTACAACTCTAGTTGCACATATTTCAAAATTGATTGAAATAGATAATTATTGAGAAAATGTGTACATTAGGGTTTGACTTGACAAGAAATAGGAAGATTAATAACTATGGAAATCACCAAAAATGTTGAGAATTAGCTCCTTCTATGCCACCAAGGGTGGGATGACCTTAGAATTGAGTTTCTTTAAACTTTAAGAAACAGATGATCTTCAGGGGACACATTTTTTTGTGAATTTACAAAAAAATGCTACTGTGATAATTGTGATTTATAGGAAATATATTTGTTTCCTTGAATGACCATATTTCTCCTATATTTTTGGTCTTCACCCATAGCTCCTGACATACAGTGCTCAGAAAACACTTGTAATTTCCTAAGAATTGAGAGTGATAAATGTGTCTATTGTTATGTTAATGAGATGACCTTTGGGAAAAGCACCTAAGGATAGCTACTGGTTGCCAGGGAAACCTATGAAGTGATTAGAAAGTTGGAGTTTATTTATTTTTATTTTTATTTTTTTAATGTCTTTTTTAAAAAGATTTATTTATTTATTTATACAAGCACTGGGTACAGTCAGAAGCATGGGAGGGTGAGAGAATTCACCAGAGCCAGAGGGGAGAGTAGAGCAGGCAGACTAAAGAAATACATTGCTGAGGGGAGCAGTGGGTGGCAGGAGAGGTCTGGGCACCATGTGGGACCCTCGCCCAGTGGCCGGGGATCGAACCGGCGCTGCAGAGGCTGCGGGCAGCTTCACAACCCAGTGCTCAACTGCTGCGCCACTGGGGAGGCCCCTATTTTTTTAATGTCTTTTTAATATTATTTTTTTTTTTTTATATTTTACATCATTGTTAATTTTTTTTTATTAAATAATAAATTTTATTGTTATATTCCCCATACAATTGCAGCCCCCCCATTCTGACCCCAATCCCTTCCCTCCCGCCCCTGCCCCCCTAAAAGTGTCTCTGGTTCATAGTTTTTTGTTGATTTTGATTTTCACTTTTTATAGTTATTCATTTTCCTGGTCCCTTATTTAAGTTTTCTAGATTCCTGCTATGAGTGAGACCATCCGGTATTTTTCTTTTTCTTTTTGGCTTATTTCGCTGAGCATGATCCCTTCCAGCGCCATCCATGTTGCTGCAAATTGCATGTGTTTATCTTTTTTGAATGCTGAGTAATATTCCATGGTATATATGTACCACATCTTCTTGATCCAGTCATCTATTTTTGGGCATTTGGGTTGTTTCCAAAGCTTAGCTATTGTAAACAGTGCTGCTATAAACATAGGGGTGCAGGTGTTCTTTGGAATTGATGTTTCTGTGTCCTTTGGGTAAATACCTAGGAGTGGAATTGCTAGATCATATGGAAGCTCTATGTTTAGTAGGTCCAGAAATCTCCACACAGCTTCCACAGTGGTTGGACCAGTTTGCACTCCACCAACAGTGCAGGAGAGTTCCTTTTTCTCCACACCCTCGCCAACTTTGTTGTTGCTAGTTTTTTTAATATGTGCCATTCTCACTGGTGTAAGATGGTATCTCATGGTAGTTTTGATTTGCATTTCCCTGATGACAAGTGATGTTGAACATTTTTTCATATGCCTGTTGGCCATTTGCATTTCCTCTTCAGAGAAGTTTCTTTTTAGCTCTTCTGCCCATTTTTTGACTGGATTATTTTCTTTGTTGTTGTTGAGTCTCATCAGCTCTTTGCAGATTTTTGTGATCAGTCCTTTATCATTAGTGTTGTGTGCAAAAATGTTCTCCCAGTTGGTGGGGTTTCTCTTTGTTTTTGTTATTGTCTCTTTTGCTGTGCAGAAGCTCTTTAATTTGATGTAGTCCCAGCTGTTTATCTTCGCCTTCACTATCACTGCTTTGGGTGATGTGTCTGTAAAGATGTCTTTGATGTGCAAATCCCGTAGTGTTTCGCCTATATTTCCTTCTATATATTTTATGGTTTCAGGTCTTATGTCTAATTCTTTAATCCATTTTGAGTTGATTTTTGTGTATGGTGTGAGGTAGTGGTCAAGCTTCATTCTTTTGCATGTAGCGACCCAGTTTTCCCAGCACCATTTATTGAACAAACTTTCTTTGCTCCAATGCATAGTCTTTGCTCCTTTGTCAAAGATTAGTTGACCATAAATCTGTGGGTTTATTTCTGGATTTTCTATTCGATTCCATTGGTCTGTATGTCTGTTCTTGTTCCAATACCATGCAGTTTTGATGATTATGGCTTTGTAGTATAGTTTGAAGTCTGGGCGTGTGATGCCTCCATTCCCTTCTTTTTTTTTCAGGAGAGCTTTGGCTATTCGGGGTTTTTTGTGATTCCATATGAATTTCATCAATAATTGTTCTATTTCTTTGAAGAATGACATTGAAATTTTGATTGGAATAGCATTGAATCTGTATATTGCTTTCGGAAGGATGGCCATTTTAATAATGTTTATTCTTCCAATCCATGAGCAGGGGATGTCTTTCCATTTCTTTGTGTCTTCTTCTATTTCTTTTAACAGTGTTTTATAGTTTTCTTTGTATAGGTCCTTTACCTCTTTTGTTAGGTTTATTCCAAATATTTGATTTTTTTTGTTTCAATAACGAAAGGATGGTTTTTTTTGATTTCTTCTTCTTCAGATTTATTGTTTGTGTATAGGAAGGCTACTGACTTTTGCGTGTTGATTTTGTATCCTGCCACTTTACTGAACTGATTGATGAGTTGAATTAGCTTTTCTGTGGAGTTTTTGGGGTTCTCTATGTATAATATCATATCGTCTGCAAATAGTGATAGTTTGACTTCTTCTTTTCCTATTTGGATTCCTTGGATGTCTTTCTCTTGTCTTATTGCTCTGGCTAGGACTTCCAGTATTATATTGAAAAGCAGTGGTGAGAGTGGACATCCTTGTCTTGTTCCAGATCTTAATGGAATTGCTTTCAGCTTTTCACCATTGAGAATGATACTGGCTATTGGCTTGTCATAGATGGCCTTTATGATGTTAAGGTATGTTCCTTGTATCCCAAGAATTTCAAGGGCTTTTATCATGAATGGGTGTTGCACTTTGTCGAAAGCTTTCTCAGCATCTATTGATATTATCATATGGTTTTTATATTTCTTTTTGTTGATGTGTTGGATAACGTTGATTGATTTTCGGATGTTAAACCATCCTTGTGCCCTGGAATGAATCCTACTTGGTTGTGGTGAATTATCTTATGGATACATTGTTGGATTCTGATGGCTAAAATTTTATTGAGGATTTTTGCATCAGTGTTCATTAGGGAGATTGGCCTGTAGTTTTCCTTTTTGTGTTGTCCTTGTTCGGTTTTGGTATTAGTGTAATGTTGGCTTCATAGAACGTGTTTGGTATTGTCCCTTCCTTCTCAATTTTTTGGAAGAGTTTGTGAAGGATAGGCACTAATTCGTCTCTGAATGTTTGGTAGAATTCATTTGTAAATCCATCAGGTCCTGGGCTTTTGTTTTTGGGGAGGTTTTTGATTACCATTTCAATTTCGCTAATTGTAATTGGTCTGTTTAGGTGTTCTGTTTCTTCTTTATCTAGCTTTGGGTGATTGTAGAGTTGTAGGAATTTGTCCATCTCCTCTAGATTGTTGAACTTGTTTCCATATAACTGTTCATAGTAGTTACTGATTATTCTTTTGATTTCTGCTGTGTCCGTTGTGATTTCTCCTCTTTCATTGATGATCCTGTGTATTTGTGCTTTCTCCCTTTTTTCTTTGTGAGCCTGGCTAGGGGTTTGTCTATTTTATTGATTTTTTCAAGAACCAGCTCTTGGTTTCATTAATCTTTGGATTGTTTTTTTAGTTTCAATTTCATTTATTTCTGCTTTGGTTTTTATTATTTTTTTTCTTCTACTGGTTTGGGGTTTTTTTGTTGTTCTTTTTCTAGATCT